TGTCACCCCATTGACTACAACCCTTTGAGCCCGACCCATCAGTCAGTTGCTCACCCAACTGCTCAGTCATCTTTACACAAGATCAACTTAAATGTATTTGATGCCCCAGTCACATATGAAGTAACTTCTTACCTCAATCACATGGGGACGAACAGGTTTTCTCTCTTTTTTACTTTTAGATATGCCTTTTATAAATTTCTCTACTTCTTTAGATGCTTCTGATATCTGCTGAGGTGCTGCATTCACTGAACACCTGTTAAAAATATATACAAAGTTTTTAAATATGTTTCTGTGGTTTTGGAGAGTCCTTTAACATTTGCACCACTTTGTCTTCCTAAACTTTTTCTATTAAGTCATCAGAATGTTAGATCTGCAGTCACTGATAATTGTTATCACAGGAAAAAAAGCAAAATACTGATAATCCAGCATTTGATATGCAAAAAAAAAAAAAAATCAGAGTCCAATTGCTTTTCTTTTGCTTGCCCAAAAACTCCTTCAGACCTAAACTTTAGCAGTAGCTGTCAAACCACTCTGGGCACAGGACAGGTCCACATCAGCTTTGCAAAATATAAAAAGAAACTAATGCTCTGTATTCTCTCTTTACAGGCAGACCTGCTGTGATTTTGAACAGTATAGCTATTTCCATAATTTTATTCATCACTGCATGCTTTGCAAAACAAAACTTTGCACCTTATGTCACTTCAAATGGACTTATTTTTGGAACTAACGCGTCTGACACTAAACACCTTAAAGGGCCCTCTTGATTTTCACAACATATGCATAAAGTAGATTTCAGAATGTTGCTATTTTCCTTTTAGAAGAAAAAATCCAAAGCAAACTGCATTGTACTGTTACAATACAATGTAACAGTATTTGTCTAATGGGAACCTTTAAGAAAAAGAAAACAAAAAGGCAGAAAGGCAGAATTTTGAGTAGTTCTGTAAAATCCCACAGACCATTTACAAACTTTTGGTCAATCAGTTACACAATAAATTTGCTGTAAGTTTCTCATATTTGTAAAAAAAAAAATGAACAAAATAAGCCATAGCTACCCCTTTGTAAGCAAGGAGATTTTAAACTATTAAAACTTTTGTAGTTTTTCCACAGACCTCACATTTCACAAAACCCCAGTACTCCATAACGTGCACTGAGAAATGCCCACTGAGATCACGGCCTCTCTTTAACCAAAAAAAAACCCCTTTTCTTTTCAGCTGGAACTCACCTGATGTTGTCACTATTTAACAAATACTTCTTAATGCGCGGTAGTTTGCGTAGTATTGGTTTAATATCAGACATTTCTGCTATTCTCTTCATCAACTTCACCTGTGCAGGGAGGGAGGGCAGAAAGACTACAGATTAAGCCAAGAGAAGGAATTAGCAAAAATGAGCACTGTAATTTTGAAGTGGAGGATCTGGACCTCGCTGAAGGATGCCATTAACTTTTCACCTGATCCATCCCACTGAACATTTCTTGCAGTTCTCCAGAAGGTGTAAGGTTTTTGCTGGCTCTAATAGAGGCATATAAATGCCCACAATCTGGAATCCCATTTGACAGCTCCTGGGCAGTCTTCTTAACCAGCACTCTGAAATGCTCCTCCTCCTCAAATCGGGGGCTGAGAAAGAGTAGAAACAGGTCTCCAGGTGTCAGGCAAAACCACACTAATGGCATTTGGAATACTGAATCATTCGTCATCTCAATTTCAACAAAGAACTTTTAAATTGTTGGTTCTCCACTTAATCCACTATATAGTCATACAAATGATGGAGAATTTAAGTTTAGAAACTGGGAGCAATTCAATTAACCATTTTATAAAAAGAAATCCCAAAGTATGATCTCTAAGAAGAGAATATTTGAAGGAAGAGGGAAAAGAGAACCCCAAAACACATGCAAAAACACAAACAAACAAAATTCAATGTACTGTACTTGTTAAATATTTCACTCCATAAATGCATCATGTCTGGTAGATTTCTATCCAAGCATAGAGATGAAAAGAGCACACCCTGAAGGAAAAAAAACAAAAACAAAAAAACAAACAAAAACCCTTCACACAAGACAACCAAAGCAAAGGCCTGAAAAATGCACAGTAACTTTTTATGAAAGTGATGCAATGATGCCAATCTAATGCCACACATCACAAAACCACTTTAATGCAGGCTGTGCTACTAAAATCAGAGCAGACATGAAATGCGATGCTTCTTTGCACAAAGCAAGCCTGTCGATTCCTCCTTCTCAACAGTAAGTAGCAGTTCAGAAACAGAATTTCTTATTTTTCATATAATAAATTTTTCATAAAATAAAAATAAAACTGTCCTGGGGATGCATCTTTCTGCAAAAGAGTCTCCCTAATTCAATGCCAGGATCCGTGGGGAAAAAACCACAGCAGCAGACCCCAGCGAGTCTGAAAAAGTCTTAAAAGGATATTGTTACAACTGTTATGCCCAATACTAAGATCCAATGATCTTGCAAACATTCTGTGTTTCTGAACCACATTAACAGTGACATACACATGTTAACAGCAATCTGCATGTATAACACTATACTGCTTTGTCCTCTACCCTGTTTCCAAAATTTTTTGCAGCACTCAAAAATATGGTGACAGATGCTAGTGAAGCACTGCCTTAAAATGGATAACCACATCAAGCAATCCCCCTAAAACAAAATACTAAAGTACTGTAATTACTAAATTACTGTCAAATTCGTATCTTGCACAAAAAGGCATGAGTTCTTCCACACACTAAGTTTTCAATGCACATTAGCTGACCCTTTACCTGGGAGCCCTGACTGACCCTTAACTGCAGAGCTGTTACTGCAAGTGTAACATCTTGAAGTTTATAATTAATTTACCTGTTCATACACATCCAGGTGTGAATCATCTGGAATGATATGTGGGCTGACGGACATCCCGCCTGTTTTTAGATCTATTTTCTGGGCTTGTTCCCTGTAATCAAGGGCTCCACATCCCATCCTGCAAAAAATAAGAGATTTATTTCTATTTTCAGTGTATGCCAAAACCAGGATCCATAATGCTGTTTGCAAAGGAGACTGTGTAGGCCAATACTGATTTAGTAACTAAACAATCTGGGGTATTATCAAGCAAACACAATAATTCACACCTTACGAAAGAAAAAAGTAATACATCAAGCCTTTCCATTAAAGCATCCTATTAATTCAAAATGATGTATTAAAAAGTGTGCTTGATGTACAGGCTTGCTACCAACATTCATGTGGAACTACAATAATAACACCACATCAGCTGTTATCACCAACAAAAAGCATAGATTCCTCTCAGCCCAAATGACTTGTTCTGCCCTGGGCCCCTCTTTCCCCTACAATGCGCGAGTCAGTGTTCCTGCGACCGCGTGGTGAAATTAGACCAAAAATCTATCCAAGCGAAAGCTTTAATTTCTGCTAGGCTATTTTTCATTTATATCAATTTTCCAATCTGTTCAGAAAATGTTTGCGTTGATGCTGGAGAACAAGGCAATGCAGAGAATGATGGAGAAAGGAGCTGTCAACTCAGCAGGGAAGACAGAAGACCACTGTTTCTGCAGGACACCAACTTATCAGCATTTCCCTTCTATAATAAGAATGGATGCTGAAGTTATTAAAAGCAATATTATTTCAGTAAGCTGTATTACGTCTTATTGCTTTAGCTTCTAAGAAAGTAAACCTCTCACTTTGTAAGGACATTGCAGAAGAGTGGCACATATGGTTTGAGCTCTTCAGGAAGCGTATTCAAGCTGGAAACAGCTCTGAAATAAACAACTCCATTGGTTGGCTGAGCACAGTACTGGACAGGAATTTCATCAGCTAGGGATAAAAAAACAAAAGCAAAGAATAAACCACAGCTTCCTACTACAAACACATAAAAGCAAAACAATTTCTTGCAAGAACTTCATATTAGGAGTTATTTTCTGTTGCCACTTCAGAGCCACTTCTTGTTTAAACTTTGCACATTGCACTGAATGCTGGACTGAAGGGTTTTATTGTCTCTGTCTATGATAAGGTAATGGACAATCTGATGACAGAATTCTGTTGACAAAGGCCACATTTTAGAAGTAACATTCAAAATAATGAATGGTAATTTGTTTCTGAACAACTCAGTAAGTTTTTCTCCCTCTTTTTTTGTCATCACCTCAAAAGATGAGGAAAGCTGGTTCCTGCACTGTACGTTTTCTTCTAAGCTAGGGCAATAGACTATATATATTAGAATTTTCACAAACCAGGTCGTTTTAGTATCAAAATTATATAGTACTCAACACTTGCTGGCAATTTTTTGCAGGAAAGTGTCTGTTAGAAATATACAACAGAGCAGCATTACCTGCAAGATTTTGACAGAACTGTAATAAAATTGAGACCTACAATTTTTTGTTTACCTATCAATCCATGGGGTAGTCACTAGCAAAGCAGGGAGAAATTTGCACTGAAGTTAGAAAGAATGATTTTTTTTTCTTTCCCCCCCCCATGGCTCCTGTACATCATATTCATCATTCATTACAAAATGGGTAGGGAGGAAGACCAGTAAAGAAGGCTGGCTGCACAAGCTGCCAGTAATGCTGCACCCTGGGTAAGTCTTTGGAAAGTGTGGAGATTGCTCAAGAGCAGTGGAGCAAGCCACTGAGAGACTCTGACTGCAGGGTAGGGCAGGCAGCGAGTAAGCAGGCAGCCAGGAGCTCACATCAGCCCCACATTGCCCCTCAGAGGCAACGGCAAGAAGCGTCTGCAGATCCACTGCAAAGGCAGCAGATTAGAGGAAAAGCACCGTAACTATGGACAACAAACAGTGAGTATGTATAATTTGTAAAGAGCAAGAAAGAGCAACAGCTGGGCAAGCAGCTAGATAACAATCCAACAGTGTTGCTCTTTTGAGGATGAAATAATGGTCACACCAACCTGCAAGTGTTGTTTCCAATACAGTGAATGGGATTTTGGGCTCAATGTCAGACACTTTTAGAGCTGGGAGACAAGAGGTATCCTGAGGTTTGCTTTGAAGAGCAATTAATTCCAAACCTATCAAGGAGAGCAGAGTACCAGTTTGTCATTTTTAAGTTTTAGTGAAAGTGCTGTTAAAACCTAATGAGGTTACGCAGATCAGAAAAAGAGTTTTAAATTTAGTTTAAAACAAGAGTTTTAAATTTAGAATTTCTTTATCAACAGTTCTTTCCTGTATTTTACTGAAACAAATGCTGTAGATCATCACATTGAAACAGAAAACAGAACACTGAATGATTGTAAATTCTCTTTCTAATCCCCCCTTCACATTCTGTTTACTGTAACATGCAATTTAAACCCCGAAGAAGCAACATCTGCCAGCCTGTCCTGCCACCCAGCTCTGTCAGCACCAACCCAGGCAACCCAGACCTTGCAGGTCAGAAGCTTCTTTCCACCCCATTCCCTTACTTGGAGTTCTTACTCCAAGTGCTCTGTCAGTACACTGAGGAAGCTAAACTGTTGTGTTTAATTTTACATTTCAGCCTCTTTCAGATTCTAGCCGGTCACTTCTAAGTACTCTCCAATTTATCTTCATAAGTAGAAAGCCTCATTCAATTTTCTGCAAACCCAACCTAGTACCAAAGCTTCAGAATAATAACGTCATTTTTTTTTTGGAAGATTTCTATGACTCAATCACTATTTTCACAAAATAAGATGGTTTTCCAAATTTAAGTTATTGCCCAGAATAAGTTAAACATAACATTATTTTTACAGCCGAGAAGAAATAAAATTACAAAATGTAAGTTTTACAGGAGCATGGAGCAGGCCTCGTACGCTCAAAAATAAACAGCTTCAAGGTAACGGTGGAATTCATCTTGTATTTAGTGCAAATTAACATGGGGAAAAAATAAGCATATCAATATTTTAAAACAACTTCCTTTCTTTTGCCCTGCTGGAGGAGACACTGATCATTCTATTTTTGAGTGTTAAAACTAAAAGAATACACCAATTATACATCATAGTGTAAACACTACACTGCATTGCCCCATAACACATATCCACAAACTCCCAACCAAAAAATTGTCTCTTTCAGAGCAAATGCTGGAGAGTGGCTGAGAAATTAAGATATTCTGCAGAACACTAGCTAAAAAACTGGCTATATTTAAGCATTTACTCAAATAAAAATATGAAAAAGCACATCAACCTTTTTCAAAGATTTGGGTTTTTTCTTCTTCAGAAAGAGCATTGACTTTTTTTTCCAGCTTTTCTGCTTCCATTTTTGCTTGTTTATCATGGTAGTCTTCCTCTGGACTCATTGACAGAGTTAATCTATGTGGATTATCCTGTAGAAATATATCCCAAAACAAAACATTATTAATTTTGAGGGCAACTTCCTCCTGTTTTGCCTCAGATTACTGATTCATCAACAGTAGGTAAAAACAGCCTGTGCATCATTTGGCTTGAATATTATCAAAAGTATCACAATCAGGCCATTTAAACTCTTCACTTCATAAAGAACAGTCTGCTGCCGGGGTGGGGAAGAGAGGCAGCTTACCACAAGAACAAGCATGAACAATCTTCTGTGAAATTTTAGCATAGAGTCAGAATCCCTTAACAGCACACAGTACTCATTAGTTTAATTACATCAAGGTTAAACAACTGTACATAACGCTTCAGAGCAGCATGTCACAAGTTTTATCTGGAGAGTGTTCTAAGATGAGGAATCTGGTTAAATGCAGAAGGGTTTCATTAAACACCTCTTTCAACCTGCCCAAGCTTGAGCGCACAGAGATCCCATAAGATGTAAAATGTACGTGCCTTATCCTGCTCAGAAATGCTGTACATCAGTCTTGCTGCCACAGAGCTCCATGCATTATGCAAGTGTCACAACTGCCGTTGAATTTCTCTTTGTTTATACCAGACTGTGGAAATTTTAATAATAAAATTACTCAAGCAGCTTCCATTTTATATAATTTAGGGAGGCTATTCAAAAAATAGTGACCTCAAAAATTGCCCATTTCAAAGTAGGAGGCAAATAGCCAGATCTGTCGCTGACAGACACTGCCCATAATTTGGGACAATGCAATGAGTTCTGTTTTACAAGTTTATCTCCCCCATGCCTATGTGGAAAGACTTTGGAAACCTGATTGACTCTGGAGTCAAAGAGGGAAATGCAAAATTAACTAGGCACAGTAAAATGCACAGGATGAACAGCATTCCCTCCCTTGCTCCTAGACTTCCTATGTTATTAGTCTCCAGGCCTGATGTACAACAGTGCACAATCTTCTGATATAGGAATCATAGAAGGGTTTGGGTTGGAAGGG